GCCTTGTATTCCTTATTCCAAATAGTAAGGTTCCTCTTACTATTTGATAGGTGTGACACTGATTACTTCTTTACAACTTTGCGGAATTAAAAGTCCTGAAGAACAAAAATTACTAAAAAAGATTCACAAATGGGCATCCATTTGGTAGATGAGAGCCCAGCAATATCACTCACTCCAGCAATTAAAAATTTCTTCTTAGAGCTAAACATTAAATCATCAAATTCTCTCTTCAAGCTTTCACAGCTGCTTTTGGCCACTCACTTCGATGGGATTCATTCCTTCTCATGGTGTTCTGCCCGAGTATTTAATTCTGTTGAAAAAAAAAAAAAAAAAAAAAAAAAGCTAGGTCCTTCCTGTCCCTCAAGCACAGAGGGAAGGAAGACCAAGGTTAAAGAGCTACATGGCCTTTTTAGGTTAACTCATTCCTAAAGTGCACAATAGCTTTTGCCTGAAGATTTTCAATCTCCCCGTTTCCCTGCCTCTTTGTCCCCTGCCAAATAAATCTAAGATGATTAATTTGTAGAAGCCAGAACATAAAGGAAACCTCAGTTTTTTGATAACTCAGATCTGCTTTTTCTGTGAGCAGGTTGTGGCTAAATGTTAAGAGCAGCGAGTCAGAGGCCAGCTGTTGGCAGTCCTGCTGCTGTGTCTCCTTGTTTTGTTAGGTTTTAAGCTGCTCACAGGTTAGGACAGAGAGTCGATAAAGACTTGCAGGGAGACTTCTTATTCTGGGGCTGTCTGAACAACAGTGAAGGGTGGTAGTGAATTTGGGATATGCAGCTGATGAATTGCGGTTCCGGGCACCCCAGTGAGCTGGCTGGGCGCAGCACACAGACTTTCCCAGCCATTTCCCCTGTTTTTGTAACCTGACCGGCCTGTGATCTCTGAGCATTTAAACTAGCCATCAAGGGGGCTGTTTCAAGGCAAGCAAGATTCCCCAAACCATGCTTTAATTGATCAAAATAATAATGGCACATATGCTCCTTAGGGAGACTCTATGTGAATTCTTGTATGGACAATCCTCCCCCATGACCCCCTCCTTTTTGGAGGAACATTTTTTTTGGGAAGAACAGTCCTTACATTTAACTAAATTTGATAGCTCCTTGGCACCTTTTCTTGCTGTTCTGTTTCAAGGCAAAACAAGGACTTTGTCCTTGCTGAACAGTTTCTGCTGTTATTCTTGACATTGGAATTGAAGAGGACTTTTCCCTTTGGTCTAGTGAGATGAGAAGTATCTGGAAGGTCATGGGAGAATACAGCGGACACTCCTTTGCACTCAGATTATACATTCCTTTAGGGTCAAGAGCACTGGCCAGGCTTAAAATAAAGAGGCAGGCGAGCAGACATCTTTGTGTTTCATTAGACTCCATTGAGCCTCAGTAGTGAGTGGCTAGAAAGGCACGACCTAGTACCTCACTGACTTAACTGTTCTGCCTAGACCAAGACACAGAAAAGCTT